GCCACACTTCTGATGCAGCCCAGGAGAGAAACACAGAGCGCTACGAACACTGTGGGAGGCGTCCCCTCCTGAAAGGATTTGCTGGCCACTATGGAAAGGGTTCTGAAAGGAGCTGCTTCCAGTATGGGTGATCCCAGTAAAGTAGCTGTCATCAGCCAGCTAACAGCAATTCAGTACTGGAGGCAAGTGGAAATGGATTCATGAAGTTGGTTCTCCACAGGAAACGTAATAGCAAAGGCCCGTTTCGTGCCAGCGTTCACCAGTGACGTAACAGACCGCAGCTCCCCCTATCAATACCCTACAGCAGCAGGGGGAACCAGGCTGGCTGCGGACCCTGGGCTCAGACGTGCACATCTCTGCCTGCCGCAGGATCACAGCGGAACTGGAAGCAGCCCAGCAGCTCTCACACGGTGGGGTACCCGTGTTAGCCAACACGGAGAACCCTCCTTAGCCTCTGGGCTAGTACCACACCCTGGTAATCAGGTTGTCTGGGAAGGTCAGTGCTGCACGCAGGCAGTTGCTGCCCAGGAAGACAGGGTCAGGGGGGTTTGGAGCCCAGAACCATACCTGCTGACCTGCAATGCACCGTGTCCCACAGGGATCTGTGTGCCCCTCTGACGGCAGATGACAAGACACAACACTACACAGCTGTCTGTATTTATCGTGTAAGACAGTCATCAGCCAGCAGTTCTTACTACCAGCAGCGACAGCCAGCATCAGTCACATATCAAACACATTGCATTGCTAATTACAGACGATAATCTAAGGTTTGTTGGTTTTTGGTTTTGTTGTTTTAAATACAAACAAAAACCCTTGATATTTTAAAAGCAGGTAATGAAAACGCTTACTTTAACATCTTCAATGCTTCCTTTTTTCAGCATGATGTCAAGGCCTTCCTCAGTTGTCACCAAGGGGAAGTTCTTGCTATTTGGAGAAATTTTGCTTTTCCTAGGCTGATGAACTGTACTGGTCAGACGCAGTGAGCTGTAAGGTGAATAATCTGAAAACACTTCTCTCAGCGCCTTGCTGAAAGCCTGAACGTTATCCTGTACAATATCCACGAGATGAACCTCCTTCAAGCTGCTCTCCCCCATGGATTCTTCCAAGGTCTCTTTGATGGAGGATACAATGGAATATGTACACAGTTCCAGCGGGAAGCCAAAAATCCCCCCGCTTATCGCGGGCAGAGCTATGGAACGATGATTGTACGTTTCAGCTAGCTGCAGGCTTTTCTTCACCGTCTTCCTCAACAAGAGCACGCACTTCTCCGCTTCCTCCTTCCTCCACCTGGGCCCAACGGCATGGATGACATTCTTGCAGGGGAGCTTCCCGGCGCCCGTGATAACTGCGCACCCAGGCTGCAGAATCCTGCTCTTCCTCGCCTCATCGCACTCCTGCTGCAGCTCTGGACCTGCCGCTTTTAACAGCGCCTCAGCAAGGCCCCCGATGTGTTTTAAGTCTTCGTTAGATGCATTTACCACAACATCAACAGGATGAGTGCACAAGTTAGCTGTATAAACTGCTATTACAACCCCACCTACGGTCACCTGCGAGTAAGGCTTGCCTGTATCGCTATGTTCTTGCCGTTCTTCCAGCTGTTCTTCCGACAGCTCTTCCAGCCTGACTAGACACCTAAAGTCTTGATTTGCAGTGGCAGCAAAAAAGCGTTCTCGCTCTTTGAAATACAACTTGGCTCCTGGCTCTCTAATTACCAAACGCTTATAATGCAGGCCAGACAGAATTTGCTCAACTAAGGTGACTCCCTTCAGCACTTCTCTTCTCGGCCCGCTCAGGGATATAACTCTACATTTCTTCTCTGTGATGAAGTCAACTTTCACCCCTTTTTTCTCCAAGTCACCCCAAACGTTGGTCTTCTCTTTCTCAAAGAACATTATGACTGCCACAGGCTTTCCTCCAACGACCTTTCGTACTTGTGTGTTTTCATCTATGAAGTCAGAAATTTCCTCAGCGACTTTTGCTACTTCTTGAGAACAACCAGCAACAATGACCTGACCCTCTGCCTGAATGACTTTTACAGCTTCATTAGAGCAGTTTTGCTTGGCGAGAAACACCCATTCCTTCTTCTGGAGGACCGACTCATCCTCCAAAGTAATGCTTTTGTAGTCCAGCTCCTTCTTTATTTCCTCTTCTGCTTTCAGGAGATCTTCAAGAGCGCTGCCTTTCAAGATGACAGCTTCTGTGCCAAGCTCATAAAAGGCACTGATTTCTTTTGACATAAACAGGCTCTGTGACAGGGTTTCGTTATCAACACACTCTAAAAACTGGAAAATATAAGGGTGAATACTAACTGTTTTCTTTACCATATTACGTATATTGTCTAATATTTCCCCTTTTACTTTATAAACTTCCTCAGGCATTCCACATAAGTTAATTATCTTCTGCAAAGGATCATAAGTTATCTGCAGGGCTGGGAACTCCATACGAAATTTTTCTTCGAGACCAGCAATCTGTAAAAGTGCATATTCCCCTGGACTCATTACCACCATTTCTTCCATTCTCTGCTTTTCTCTTTCAATTTCTCTGGTGGCCTGTTCTATCAGAAACTTCAGTTCTTGCTCAACATTCTTCACAACTTCTTTTTCACCTACTAGAACAAGTAACTCCTTGGAAGTACATGGGATTATCAGAACTTCCTCACAGATAAAGCTGTTTCTAATGGCTTCCCACACCTCTGCGCTTACGTGACATTTGATCACTTTGTACTTCGATATGCTACATGAAAATGCTGTGGAAACATTTTCTTTCCACGTCTTGATCAATCGAGATACCAGTCTCTTCTGCACAGACAAAGTAGGTGAAGGATGCAAAGTAACTTCTGGGTCTGCACAGCCGGGTTCAGGCCACACTGGCACACAGTTACACTTTGCCATTTCACAATTTATTGCCTCAGTTAGCTTATTATTTCTCTGCAAGTAATGCCAGATATGTGGATCCAGAGGCACTGTAATTGGATCCAGCTTCTTTATTTGTGGCCCTTCTTTTCCATACAGAGCTGTTCCCAGCGAAACATAGTAAGGATAGACAGAGATGGGTGTTTTGTTGAGTAAATGCTGCTTTCCCAAGATATTGGTTACGTCTAAAATGAACAAACAGAAATGCAAACAATTAATCCTAGCACTTAAATCTTCCAGTGGATGGTTTTAAACTTTGTTTTCTAAATAATAATGTTCGTTATATCTAAGAATAGTTTTAAATTAAATTTTCCTCCTCCTTCAAAGATCGAAATAATTCCAAGCTATTGATGAGTTACTGGTTTTAAACACCAAAAGCTAAGTTAGAGACGGCGAAGAGCCAACACAGTGCCCCTCCAGGAGGTATGCACAGACCTCTCTGCCCCACTTCTGTTACGTGCTGTACTTGCAGTGTACTCAGTGGCTGTCTGGGCTGTTAGTCAGCAGCATCAGATCACAGCTCCTCCATTTCTCCCCAGAAGAGCATCCACTTTCTTCAACTTCCCTTCAGCTCTCCCCTTCGCTGCAGTGCCTTCAGCTTTCCCCATGTCCCCCACCTTCCACAGATGCTCACGTTTCTTGGACAAGCCACAGCACCCTGCTCTCCGGCCAAAAAGCTGCCCAAGAAACTGTCCTTAAACGAGCCAGAGAGCACACGCTGCCACGGAGCAGCTGGTGGCGAGAGTGGTGTGTGGGGGGAGAAGCCTCCCGCACTACACGGGGCCGTGCTTTCCCTGTTGAACTCTCACTGCAACCTGAATTCTGTAAGGACCGAGGCCTGGGTAAAATAAACGGCACATTAAAAGCACCAAGTTCTGTGCCTCGTGCTCAGCTGGCCCAAAACTTCAGCTTGCACTCCAGTGAGCAGAGTCCTGCTGGCAAAGCACCAGATCGGCTGCTTTGTGAGGGGCAAAGTAGGTGTTTCTCTAAAAACACCCACGTCTTGGTCTTCAAGTGACAGGATCTCAAAGAAATAAGGGTTTCACGTTCCTGCGTTACCTTTATGGTCGCTGAATGTAATGATGGCTGCATCTTCATCAGGCAGCTGCTGAACATCCACCACTTGTGCCCCTCCATTCTTCTTGTTTTCAAAGTAGACAGTGATATAGTCGCTGGGTGTGTTGGGTGGTATGTTTTCAGCCCTAATGCTTCTTGTTACCTCAAGGCACCGTGCAGTAATATTTTGTTGCTTTGCTCTGTGATTTTGATTAAACTTTTTGGCAAATTCCCCTGGAGCTAGAATGAGGGGAAAAAAAAAAAAAA